ATAAAAAATAAATAAGCAAATTAAACCTGCATGATGGAACACACTTGTAATCCAACAGTCAGAAGGCAGATTTTGTCTGCCTGGGCTACACATTAAGATACTGTCTCACCTGACTGAGGAGTAACAGGAAGGTTTACAGTAATAGCATGCATGTTGTCAGAGTCTGACACGGGACTCTCGACTACAGAAGCCCCTTTTGGGTTGACATTTGAAGACACACACCCTGCCATGGATGCTGAAACTTTGAATGGTTTCAAATTGAGTGTGTGTGTGTGTATGTGTGTGTGTATTTTTAGGTTGTTGTTGAGATAGGTTCTTGCCATATTCCTCAAGCTGGCCCAGAACCGTGATCCTCCTACTTGAGTCTCCTGGGTGCTGGGATTATAAGTGTGCTGTCATACCTAGCCTGTGTTTTTCCCTATAGGTATATACCTATGATACAATTTAATTTCTAAATTAGGCATAGTAAGAGTTCAATAATAATAATATATAACTATAACAATATACTGTAATAAAACTTGTTTTAAACTTACAAATTGTTTATTTTTGAAATTTCCCATTTAATATTTTCAGACCATGATTGACAGCTGGCAGCTGAAACTGGGGAAGTCAAGCTGAGGGAGGACTATTGTCATTATTAAAGCCAGAGTTCTCTTGGCTGATTGCTAGGTCCCCACATGGTCATGTTCTAGTTTGAATTCAAAGCCACTTCCTTTTTACTTTTTGTTTTGTTTTGAGATAGGGTCTCATTATGCAACCCTAGCTGGCCTGGAACTTGATGTAGACCAGGCTGTCCTTGAATTCACAAGAGGTGCACCCTCCCCTGCCTCCCGAGTGCTGAGATTAAGTCATTTGCCACCCCACCTGGCCCCAGAGCCAGTTTCTTAGGATAAAGGACTGGTGGTCTTCAAGGTGCTCTTCTCCAGCCTCTGAAAGAGAAGGTCCTGTTCCCTGCCGCTCACTGTTTCTTGTGGTGTCTCCTCTTTAAAAAAAGAGGGTGTCAGACTGAATACAGGAGAGGCAGCACATGGCTTGTCCTGTGTGCCAAGTGATTCTCTGATCATGAATTAATGATATTTTGTGTTATTTATTTATTTATTTATTTTGAGGTAGGGTTTCTGTGTGTGGCTTTGGAACCTGCCCTGGAACTCACTCTATAGACCAGGCTGGCCTCAAACTCACAGAGATCTGCCTGTCTCTGCCTCCCAAATGCTGGGATTAAAGGCCTGCGCCGCCACCGCCTGGCTCAATGCCATCATTAAACTGTGAAGTGGGTAAAAGAAACTGACATTCCACTGGCTCCACTTTCTACGAGGTTCCTGGGCTTCGGCCAACTAGTTTCTTTTGTCAGGTTAGAGCAGTTGCCTCTTCACTGGGCTCTGGGTTCTGTCTTTTCTCCTTCATTTGGGTTCCCAGAGAGCATGTTAAAATGTGTGAGCTAGTCACTTTCCTGATGAAAATTGTCAGAAATCCCTTATAGTGGTTCTCCATCCCAGCCCTTCCCGTGGCCTGGGTCCTGTTTCCCTCCTGATAACTTGGCCTTGTCACAGTGTCTTCCTAGCGCCCCCTACATCGGCAGCATTCTAGCAGAACCAGAGGTCTGTAAGCAGGCTTCTTCCCAGGGCTGAGGAAATTGGTAGCCAAGCTCACTGTCACTACTGTGTCACCAGCACCAGGGTTTTGAGACAGGGTCCCCATATGTAGCTCAGGCTGGCCTGGATCTCTTGATCCTCCTGTCCTACTGCTGGTTTTTCGGGCACCTAGCACTTTTTATTTACTAGCAAATCCCCAGTGCTGCTTAACTCTATAACCTAGAATGTGCCCAATAAACTTTATGAATTAATACAAGTAACTTATAATGCCACCCGGCATTGTGATGTATTAATAACTCTTTATGTGAGGTGCACAACCACAGAGGCAGGCACAGTTTCCTATTTTACAGGTGGAGGAAATGAGGCTCAAAAAATTTGCAGTGTGCGGGAGACCAAGGTTTCCGCTGAGGCCTCTTAAGGCTGACCTGTCCTCCCTCTCCCTGCAGGTTGCCAGCCAGATGCCAGCGCCGTCGGTCGACCCGGCGCGGCCCCACGCGTGCCCAGACTGCGGCCGCGCCTTTGCGCGCCGCTCCACACTAGCCAAACATGCGCGCACGCACACGGGCGAGCGTCCCTTCGCGTGCACGGAGTGCGGCCGGTGCTTCTCGCAGAAATCGGCGCTGACTAAGCACGGCCGCACGCACACGGGTGAACGACCCTACCAGTGCCCGGAGTGCGACAAGCGCTTCTCCGCCGCCTCGAACCTGCGGCAGCACCGGCGGCGTCACACGGGCGAGAAACCGTACGCATGCGCACACTGCGGCCGGCGCTTTGCGCAGAGCTCCAATTACGCGCAGCATTTGCGCGTGCACACGGGCGAAAAGCCTTACGCGTGCCCGGACTGCGGACGAGCCTTCGGCGGAAGTTCGTGCCTGGCGCGCCACCGACGCACGCACACGGGCGAGCGCCCGTACGCATGCGCCGACTGCGGCACGCGCTTCGCTCAGAGCTCGGCGCTGGCCAAGCACCGGCGCGTGCACACGGGCGAGAAGCCGCATCGCTGCGCCGTGTGCGGCCGGCGCTTCGGCCACCGTTCCAACCTGGCGGAGCATGCGCGCACGCATACGGGCGAGCGGCCCTACCCGTGCACGGAGTGCGGCCGGCGCTTCCGCCTCAGCTCACACTTCATCCGCCACCGTCGCGCGCACATGCGGCGCCGTCTCTACATCTGCGCGGGCTGCGGCCGAGACTTCAAGCTACCCGCCAGTGCCACAGCCGCCACGCCCACCGAGCGCTGCCCGGAGTGCGAGGGCAGCTGAGCCACGGCGGGGCAGCGAGGGCTACTTGGGATTTGCACCTGAATGGCTGCTTCCACGCTAGCACCTGGGTCGGGGTGCTTTGGGACTGGGCAACAGGGAGTGCCCTGTTGGGATCCCTAGAAACCGAGCCCCGTTCCCAGCTACATTCCCTTGGCCCTTCTGAGTGAATAAAGTATTCTATCCTCACTTCACCGGTGCCTGTAAGTGAGGTGGGTGGCAAGGGGAGGAACACTAGGTATAATGGAGCAAAGTGGGGCTATAAGGTAGCCTGAAGGGATTCTGGCGACTGGGAGAATCACACACCTGGCCTTTGGCTATGGCTCAGTCTCAGTTCTGAAAATAACCATAAGCAGGACATGTTCATGACCAGATGGCTATGCTCTACAGCCTTGGGGGAATCAGTACGGCAAATGGAGAGAGATAGGGTTATGTAGATTTAAGAATTCGTGTAAGTACATAACATTACCCACATTTATTTAGGGTCTAAGTGGACCCACTACTCATAAACACCAGGCAGGTCTTACACTTTGGGGAATCGCTTTCTGCTTCCTGAATCCTGAGATTACAAACTTGCACCACCACAGCTAGCGCCAAACCTCATTTTATCTTCACGTTTGCGGACAGCTAGTGAATGGCCTAACAGGGACAAGGAAATTGGCGATCCCAATTTGGTGTTCACCAGAACTATGATGGCGAAAGTAGGCAGTGATTCAATTCAACCCCGGTGTGTGTGTGTGTGTACATACACATTTTTTTTTTTTTTAAAGAATCTTGCAGAGGCTCTGGGTTCCATTCCAAGAATTCATAACCCTAGTTCTAGGGGATCTAAAGCTCTTGTCTGACTTCCATGGGCACCAGGCACTGACATGGTACATAAACACACATGTAGGCAAAACATTCATACACAAAGTTTTGGTTTGTTGCCCAAGCTGCCCTCAAACTTGGGTCCTTCTGTCTCAGCCTCTTTAATGCTGGGGTTACAGGTATGCAATTAGTAATTTTAAATGTTACTGTGGGAGGGGGGGACTGTGTGTCATGGTGTGTGTGTGTGCAGAGGTCAGAGGAAAACTTGCAGGAATTGGTTTTCTCCCTCTACCATGTGGCTCTCTGGCATGGAACTGTTGAGTCTCTGGATTTGTGCTTGGGTGCAGGCGCCAGGGCAGTCCAGATGAGGGAGTGAGATTAGAAGCTAGAGTTGCAGGCATTTGTCAACTGCCTGGTGTGAGTGCTGAGAACTTCAGTCCTTGCAAGAGCGCATAAGTGCCAGGTGTGATTTCTAAGTCCAAAGCCAGTCAACAACGATACAGTGAGACCTTGTCTCAACAAACAACAAAAATACCCACCCCCAAAAAGGAGCAGAAAGTGTGCTAACAGCTAAGCAATCTCTGCAACCCTAGAAGCCATGCTTTTCCCCCTCGTGGCGTACACCTTTATTTTCCATCATAGCACTTTTATTGATTTGGGGATATCACACAATGCACCCTGTTCCTCTTGGGTCTACCCTCCAGCCTTGTGCCCTCCCACAAAAAGAAAAAAAATACATCAGGTCCATTTTGTATTGCCCATTCACTACTCACTGGAGCATGGTCAAACGCCCAGTGGCCGGCCCCTTAAAGATAACCGAGTCGTTCCCCACCTCCCTCCAGAAGCCACTCCAGCATCCCTATCAGAAGTCATGTTTTAAGATTTGTCAGGATGGTGGTGCACGCCTTTAGTTCCAGCACTCTGGAGACAGAGGCAGGCGGACCTTTGTAGGTTCAAGGTCAGCCTGGTCTACAGTGAGTTAGTTCCAGGACAGCCAGAGCTACACAGAGAAACCTTGTCTCAAAAAACTAAACATTTGTCTAGAAGAAGGAAAGGAAAAAGTTAGAAACCTGGAGCTCCAGAGACAAGGCTGCAGGAAATTTGATTACATACAAGGAATAGAAGAGAGGGAGTAAACTCAATGTTATTTTAAGATTCAATGGGTAGCCAGGTGGTGGCGCACGCCTTTAATCCCAGCACTTGGAAGGCAGAGGCAGGCAGATCTCTGAGTTCGAGATCAGCCTGGTCTACAGAGCGAGTTCTAGGACAGGCTCCAAAGGCACACAGAGAAATCCTGTCTCAAAAAATAAAACAAAACAAAAAACCAATAACAAGATTCAGAAGGTTTGGGAATATAAAAGCAGCTTTAATGATGACTTGCTTTACCTGGGAAGACAAGAAGGGTCCCTAGACAAGAGGGGCAGGAGAGGGTGCTGGGAAACCCTCACTTCACTAATGTGCAAACAGGCTGAGGGGCAGATAATCACCACCGCTTTCTCTGTGTGACCCCATTTTGGGAGGCAGGCCTAGCAGTCTTAGGGGAAGTGGGGTGCCTTAGGTTACACACCACATAAATCATTCACTCTGTACCACCTCGCTGCAGAGGAAAAACAGAATTAGCCAGGTGAGAGGGATGGGTGGCCTTTACTTGTACCAAGGGACCAAAGAGGAAAGGAAGCTGTATTCTGCACTCATCAAAGACTTGTGGCCCATGTTTACTTCCGGTTCTCTGCTTTTGTAAGCCTTAAGTTGAAAAGGCAAAATAGCACTGAAAGTTGCACCAGGCAGCGCCCTGCTTCTCTGAAGGACCCGAGATGTTCTACCTAGCTACCCAAGAAAAATCTAGAAGTTGTTGTCATGTGTCATTTTATTGGGAGAGAAAAGACCAGTAGATTATCTTTTGGAAACTCTTGGGCCTCAGACCTATGATTCAGTTAAGAATGGACTAGAACGAGTCCATCTCTGCTACTCTGACACTGTTTCCTAGGTGGAGGCCTGGCTCTGCAACTCGGAGGCAGGTTCTGCAGCCCCCACAGCCTGGTTTTCAGGGATGGTCCCATGGGGCAAGTCTGTGTACTTGCAGGCAGAACCTCGGGAGAGATGGACTGGGTAGCGTCGTCGGTTGGTGTCCATTTTGGAAATTACTGCTCGAGGTAAATCCACACGACAACGGGCTGCTAATGCCACCAGGTAGATGAGGACGTCACTAAGCTCCTCTTGAAGGGCTGCTCGTTCCTTTGGCAGCCAGGCTTGAGGACCAGGCTCTGCATCAGACTTCCACTGGCTGGAAAGAGAACAGGACAGACACACAGCTTGCTGGCTGAGCGGGCCTGTCTCCAGTCTATCAAGTATCACACTCCCAGAGCCCAGAAAATCCCACCAAGGACACCTACCTGCCTGTGCTCTGGAGGGGGCCAGCTGGGGTGGGGAAGAGACTTAACAGGCAATAGCCAAACCCGCCGTGACTACCCAAGCCGAGCAGCCAGGAGAGCACTGTTGAGATACTTGGGGGCTCAATTCTACTTTTCTCTAGCCTTAGCTGCTGTCATTCCACACCAAACCCCAGGCCTAAGTCAGTGCAGAAGCGGGATTTATCTTCATGTTATCTTTACCCGCTGATCTTCCACCCAAAGTCACTTCACCTTTTTTGTTTGTGGTCACTGCCCTTTCTCGCACACCACCCCCTGACTCCCCAGATTTTCCTGTTCTTGATCCTTAGGTCTCAACTCAGAGGTCACCACCTCAGACACTCTCGCTTTCTCACCTTGTGTTACTCTCTCCCGTCCACTCCCAACACAGAATACCCTCTCCTCCAGCCTCTTCCTCTCCAGTGCTGGGATTACATCTCACACCATCACACCTGCCTCTGTTTTCCTCTTAACCCTTGCCAGTTACAGATCATTTGAAATTAGCTCCTGTATTATCAGTCTCCTTCCACTAGGACCAGAGAAGGCCTGGTCCAAGGCCCCGTCTTTTGGGTTCGGATGACTTAACACACAGCGGATGCTAATTCTCTGTAAAAAAGGAATGGCCGGCCCTCAGACATACATATCTGTGTGCCCTCTGTTCTGCATCTCCATGGTGGCTGCCCAGAGTCAGGTTCACACCAGCCTGCTCACTAGTCTGCTCGACTCCATCCTCTCAGACATCCAACCTGCCCTACAGGCAGAGATCTTTCTGTGACTCTGGTTAGATCAGGCCGTCTGTCTGACTGCCACCACCTTCTAGCGCCAACCTTACCTGCCTGGGTTTGTCTCCCACAGTTCCTTCTACAAAATGCTTACGACAGGCCATATACTTAGGGCATACCGGAGAACAAAAACAGACACAAGATTCCCTCATACTGAATTCGTCTCTCAGAATTTAACTTGCCCTTTTTTGTCTCACTACCTTTCTTCAACAATTTATTGTTCAGGTACGTGTGCAAGCACCTGTGTGTCTCTATGTGCACTGTGTGTCTGCAGGAGCCTCCAAGGTCAGAAGACAGTGTCAGGTCCTCTGAAACTGGAGTTATGGGCGTTCTGACCTGCAACGGGGGTGCTGGGAACATAACTCAGCTCTTCTGCAGGACCAGGAAGTGCTCTGAAGCACTGAGGCATCTCAGCGGCCCCTTCACCACCTCTGTAAGTGGGAGCTCCCCGCCTGGCCAGTCACCGGGCAGGTCATGTTTTGAGATTCCTTATTCTCAGCTCCACACAGAGGTAAATGCTAGTGACAACGTCCTTAGACCTAGGTCGGCTTCAATGCTTCTGCACCTTCTCTCCCCGGAAACTGGGTACCCTACACGGCTGGGACCCATCTGTCACCTTCATATCCCCAGCAGCAGGACAGAATACAGCAATAAGGCAAATAAAAGCCACCACTGTGTTTGAGGCTCAGATACAATGCTACCCTCCCCAAATCACAGCCCCTTCCAGGAAGCCTCCCATCTACTCACAAGAGTTCTGCCAGCTCGCCCACTTCTCCCACCAAGGCTAGGAGCAGGTTCCGAGGCTGGTGGAACTGCTCCCAGTCCCGCTCAGCAGCAAATTCTGCATGGAGACGTCGGCTGGAAAGAAAGGGGTGGTGGTTCAAGTCAGGGTTAGAGGGCGAGGGACAAGATGCACGGCCTGGCAGGTAGCAGGTCAGGCCTTACATATATGTATATGTATGTATATCTATCTATCTATCTATATAGATATATAGATAGATAGATAGATGGGGCACAGGACTAGGAATCCCACAGTGAATTTCTTGGATGTTCTTAAGTTACTATTTCTTTTTTGTTGTTGTTGTTTTGTTTTTGAGACAGAGTTTTTCTCTAAGCTTTGGAGCCTGTCCTGGAACTAGCTCTTGTAGACCAGGCTGGCCTCGAACTCACAGAGAACCACCTACGTCCGCAGAGCCGGGATTAAGGCGTACACCACTTCCGCCCGGCAAGATACTACCTCTTAACAAGACTTGTTCTTATCATTTGGAAATGAACGCGTCCCTGTATAAATTTTAATCTCAAGCTACATTTTGCATCATTCTTTATTATCCCATCTTTTTTGCTACTTCTGCCCCTATCTTCGCACGCCTAAATTAATCTAATCACCGGATGCACCAGGAGGCGTCTCCTGGGGGCCTTCCTAGATATTCTACAAGAAATAACATCTCTCTACACTTCAGCCTCCCCTGTCCTACTACCGCTCTCTCTTGGGTGCAGAGATACTATTAGACTTCCGTTGACTCCCCAAAGTTGGACTAAAGGTTGGTACTACCATGCCCAGGGGCGTCACCCCTTTCCCCCCGGCTTCAGATGTGCACCGTACAGATGAGGTTTAGTTAGGCTCGCCAGAGGTCAGCCAGGAGGACCCCGACGGACACGAGCGTGTTGTTCTTTCAGGCCACGTGGAGAGGACCGCCCTACTACGACAAAAGGGTCTAAGTCTCCACCCGAGGCTGGACAAGGACTTGCTTACATGTCCTCAAGCGTGGGCTCCGGGCTGAAGCTGAACGGGCCTGCAGCAGCAGAGTCTTCTTGCCTCGCATCACCGCACGCACCGCCACCGGCTTGGGACATTCCGCCCACCTGTCCCCGCCGCGCGGGAGCAAGCAAACCCCGCGCCACGTTCGGAGTCGCCTGCAGGGTCCCGACCAATCCCAGCGCCTTGGTGAACTCCCGGGGCGGAGCCGGAGGAGGACCCACTCAGCTATGTGGATTTTGTTACGGTCCGTCCCCCATCTGGACGGGACCAATCTGAAGGAGTTTCAAGAGTGTTTTCCCCTCCTGCTACCTCGAGTTCTTCCGCCTGAGAGAAACTTCTTAAAGGGAACGGAACCAGTTCTGTCTGGAAAAGAGACTTAGGGCAGAAAGACGTTGTTTTCTTAATGGGCACCAGAGGGCGCCGAAGTGAACTGGCAGGCGCGGAGGAGGTGGGTCCACTGTAAGCAAAATCTTGAAAGTGACTCCTCCTCCCCCTCCTCCTCCTTTTTTTTTTCCTTGGATGTCCTTGGAGTTACTATCTCTTTGTTGTTGTTGTTATTTTGTTTTTGAGACGGTGTTTTTCTCTAGATTTGGAGCCTGTCCTGGAACTACCTCTTGTACACCAGGCTGGCCTCGAACTCACAGAGATCCGCCTGACTCTGCCTCCTGAGTGCTGGGATCAAAGGCGTGCACCACTACTGCCCAGTAAGTGAAGGATCTTGAGCAGCATTGTCTCCTGGTTAGGAACACTGCCTAAGGATCCAGAACAGCCTCCCACAATTTGAAAGAGGTTGACAAGAAAGCGTGCAGACTGCCAGACCCAAGGAGGACCCAGACTTTGTATTCCATTTCAGTGTTCTGCCCCAGCGGATTCCAACAATTGGAAGCGATTAACCCTTCCTTGTCCTCTTCACCTGCAGCATAGACTACAGGACACTGAAATCTGTGGCAGCTAGATAGGGTCTGCTCTCTTCCCACCTTTCCAGCTCTGTGGATCACTATCACAGCCTTACACAATACACAAGAGGACACCAAACTCGCTTATATTAGCGAGTTTATGAACGCCTTTTTCCTCTTTTATTTTAAAAAATGTATTTGATGTGTGTGTGTTCTCTGCATGTATGTCTATGGACCACTTGCGTGCCTGGTGTCCAGGGTGGCCAGAAGAGGATGTCAGTCCCTGGAACTGAAGTTAGACAGCTGTAAGATGCCAGTCGGTCCTGGGAACAGAACTGAGGCCCCCGCAAGAGCAGCAAGTGATCTTATCCTTGGAGCCATCTTTCCAGCCCCTTAAGAATTTTCCTCCTTAATATCTATGAAGAAAACTATGTGTATGCATGTGTCTGAGCACCAGTGAAGCTGTCCACATAGTTCGGAGGTGTGGAATTCCCAGAAGGTAGAGTTATCCACTGTTGTGAGTCGCCCATGTGGGCTGGTGATCCCTCTGCAAGAGTAGCATAGGTTCTTAATTGCTGAGCTGCCTCCTCAGCACCCCCTTTCCCATTTTTAAGGGTGCTGGAATCCAACCCAGAGACTTGACCCTGATAGGCAAGTGCTGTCCTCAGTCCACTGAGCCACCCCAGCACTTGAGAGTTATTACTTTCAAATCTGAAAAATCATCCAGTCATTGACCATGATAGAATGGAGTTACCTAAGAAGAGGCCTTTTGTTTGTTGGTTGGTTTGATTGGTTTGATTTTTTTTACTACTTTCTTTTTCTATTTAATATATATATATATATATATATATATATATTTATATATATGGTTTGATTTTTTTTGGAGGCAGGGTTTCACATTGTAACCCAGGCTGTCCTGGAACTCACTACATAGCTCAGGTTACCGTCAAACTCATGCCAATCCTTCTCCATCTTCTTCTAAATACTGGTATCCTAGGCCTGAGGCTCTGTGTCCACTTTCCAGGTTTAATTTTACAGAATGCTGTTTATTATTGCACTGCTGTTGCACTCGCTCTTCCTGCTCTCCGCTTTAGAAGGGGCTGCATCTTTACAGAAAAGAAAGGAAAGCTGAAAGAGCAGAGAGTAAGATTTTGAAAATTAAGGTCACACAGGATGAGAGGGTGTCACTTAGTGGCAGAGTTTTGCATGCAGAAGGCCTAACACCAGATTAACAAAACCCAAAGGTGTCGCGATTTTTGTCTCGGTTCAGATAGGTGCAAACCTATCACATATCTGGAGAGACAGAAGCATGAAGGTCACACAGCTCAATTCATAATAGAGAGAAAAGCGAAGGGCAATTCAGAGGCTAGCAGAAGCATGTCTATGCTGAGGGCCACTTACGCAGTGGACATTGTTAGCAGTTCTCCTTGAGTGCAAGCAACTGTCTGTCGTGAACCAGCCTCTACAAAAATACCACTTACCAGGGTAAGGGCATGGGGACCAGAAAATAGTAAAGAGGATGAAGACGCAAATAAAATTAATAAAACAGAAACATAGGATAGTATTGGGAGGAAGGTCCAGTCAATACTGAAATCACCCATGTTTAATTTTCCATACACTTTTTTTTTTTTTGGTTTTTTTGAGACAGGGTTTCCCTGTGTAACAGTCCTACTGTCCTGGAACCAGCTCTTGTAGACCAGGCTGGCCTGGAACTCACAGGGATTCATCTGCCTCTGCTTCCCCAGTGCTGGGATTAAAGGCATGTGCCACCACCACCACCCAGCCAACTTTTATACACCAATACAAAGGACAACTCCAACAGTTAATTGCTTCAACACTTTGAGACATCAAGTCATTAGCATTCTGTTGTTTAGGCAGTGAAGCCACCCTAGACCAAGTAGCCTGAAGGCAACCACTCTCCAAGTTAAACCTCTTAATACAAAAGAAGGAGCAGAGGTATGCTTGCATATGCTTGCATATCTGGATGGAGTGGATCTATGTGTTTGAGCCATCTTAATGTCGAAAGAACCAAGTAACCACATCCTGGGTCAGGATGTGTAGCCCTGGTTGTTGTCAACAATTTTGAACAACTTCAACTCTCTGATCTTCAACTAATGGATTTGAATGCTCTCTGATATCCCTACAAAGCATCACAACCTTCTTTGTTGTTGTAAGGCATTTTGAATTTGCTGGAATAGCATTTTAACTTGCTTATTGCTAGTCCCAACACATGGGACAGTTTCTATGACTTGAAGAACATTAAAAATATATTGGCTGTCAGTTCATAGATTAAATGCCTTATTTGCAAAAAGTTGAAACACTGTAGCAACAGCTCCAGCTCAACTATGTGAGCTGAGGCCGGTTTGGTTCGCCTTCCATGTCCTTTACCACCACCAACACAGCTGCTCTTCCACTGGAAGAAACATCTGTAAAACTTATCATAGGCTCCTTTAAGGGATCTTTCACTGCAACTTTAGGGAAAATAAAGGAATATAGTTGTTTGAATGGCAGCAACGGATGAGCTGGGAAAAGATTATTAATCTGGCCTTCAAACTGAGCAAATACAATTGCCCAAGAATCACTATTTTGAAATAACCGATCAATGTGTTGATTAGTATAAGAAATGTTGATCATAGCAGGTTCCCTGACAAAATATCTCCTAGATTCCATCCTGCTCTTCTGTGCTAAGCAAGTTACTGCTTCAAAATAGGGGTTTAATACCTTAACTGGTGAAATGGGAAGGTGCAGCAATAAAAGCGGACCATTTTGCCATAATACTGTTGTAGAAGTAATACTGTTGTAGGAGGTAATATGCATTCTTGCCAAAGTTGATTGTAATTAATATAATGTACTTGCTGTCTCTGTATAGCATACTCTACCTGCGTGAGTTTTTGACAGCTTTTGTAGACTGCCTAGTAGAATTTGGATCATTGCTTTCTTTAAGAATTTCACTTAATGGCTCAATGGCTTAATGGCTGTAGGATATTTTTAAATAAGGTTTCAGCCATTGGATATTTTATTAAAAGTTTGTGAACTATCTTTCTGATCTAAGCTGCAAGTCTGCCTAGCTGACAGGCTTAACTTGCTCATTAACATTTTTACAGACACCTGTCTGGGCTTGGAGACAAGGTAGAAATAGGTTCACATTTTTGGGCTTCCACAAGCAACAGAAACAGTTTTGAACTGGTTTGAACAAGAAAAGGGAATTTGAAGCAAATACATTGACCCATGCTTTTAATCCCAGAATTTGGGAGGATCAGAGGTCCAAGGTGATCCTAAGCTATAGTGAGAAAACTGGGAGCCAACCTGGGCCACTTGAGATCCTGTTACAGCAACACAAAACAGAACAACAACAACAGCAAAAGATTCAAAAAAAGAAAGGAAGAAAGAAGAGAATGAAATTGGCCATAAGGACACAATGACTCCTGGGTAACACTGAGCCTCAGGAATGACTGGCTCAGTTAAAAGGACACAGGCTGACTCCTTGGTAGCCTGGGCCCTGGGAGAGACCGGCTCTCAACGCCCAGTTTCGGCAGTCCACACATTTACGATGGCAGCCTTAGAAGCTCGGTAAAATTATGGTCATCATGCTCTACAGACAAGGAAACTGAGAGGTCAAGACACACAAACACTAGTAAGAGCAGAGCCAGACTTGCAGCCTTCCGCTGGAGGCCGTTTGACTTTGGCAGCTGGGTTATCAGTTCCTATGCTGTGCAGCACTGAGGCTCCGTGGAGCTCCACTCTTAGGCCTTAGATTTGGTCCTCCACACTTCCCCCACACCAAAAATAAAAACCCTATAAAATGATTGGTGCTAGGCATGGTAGCCCATGCTGTTAATACCAGTACTGTAGAGGCAGAGGAAAATGAGTCTCCATGAATTCAAGGCCAGTCTGGTCCAAAGAGTGAGCTGTTCCACACCAGCTAAGTATACCTTGTCAAAAGAAAGAAAGATGATTGGTTAGCTGGGTTAGCAGGGGTGTGGTGACTGTAACAAAGTCCCAGACCTTAGCACGACTGACTCCATGATGGAAGTACCATTCAGATTGTAAAACTCAGCACTAGACAGCACCATCTTCCAAAACTAAAACAAAGATCTAATCCATCGAAGTCCATAGTTCTGGGGAAATATCTAAATGCACTGCCTTTTGGCTTCTGTAGTTTTGCTTTGGGCTAACTGTTCTTGTGAACTGAGGCATGTCAACCCAGGACATGTTTTTCATGCTCAAAAGCTCACCCTGAGAAAGGCTGGGGGCTCCTGGGACCCTGAACATGCAGTGTCGTTGCCGGC